ACTATTGGTTTTTTTTCCTTTTCCTCTTTTACTTTCATATCCTCTCCCCTTGTTATTTCCCTTGACATTATTATTATTGGTGGTAGCAGTAGTAGTTATGTATTGTACCTTAGTTACTGGACTGTTCTAACCTCTACCCATGGGAGTTACATTCACAGTATCACAGTATGTTAGAGATTGGAAGGGACCTCAAAAGATCATCTAGTCCAATCCCCCTGCCGGAGCAGGAACACCTAGATAAGGTTACACAGGAATGTGTCCAGGTGGGTTTTGAATGTCTCCAAAGAAGGAGATTCCACAACCTCCCTGGGCAGCCTGTTCCAGTGTTCCGTCACCCTCACTAAGAAGAAGCTTCTTCTCAAGTTTAAGTGGAACCTCTTGCGTTCCAGTTTGTACCCATTTCCCTTTGTCCTGTCATTGTTTGCCACTGAGAAGAGCCTGGCTCCATCCTCGTGACACTCACCCTTTATATATTTATATACACTAATAAGGTCACCCCTCAGTCTCCTCTTCTCCAAACTATAGAGACCCAGCATTCTTTCAGTTCTCCTCCCCATCCCATCAGGAGATGGGGGAGGCAAGAAGGAGGGAGTGAGTGATCGGCTACGTGGTTCTGTGTTACTGGCTGGGCCTAAACAAAGACACGTTATGTTGAGGACACCAGAACTGTACACAGTACTACAAGTGAGGTCTCACAAGAGCAGAGCAAAGGGGCAGGATCACCTCCTTTGATCTGCTAGTCACACTCCTTTTGATGAAGCCCAGGATACAGTTGATTTCTGGGCTGTAAGCACACACTGAAGCCGGGTCATGTTTACTTTCTCTCCACCAATGCCCCCAAGTCCTTCTCCACAGGGCTGCTCTGAATCTCTTCTCTGCCCAACCTGTAGCTGTGCCTGGGATTGCTCTGACCCAGGTGTAGGACCTTGCACTTGGCACGGTTAAACTTCATAAGGTTGGCATGAGCCCAGCCCACCTCACAAGCGTGTCAAGGTACATCTGGATGACATCCCTTCCCTCCAATGAATCAACTGAACCACACAGCTTGGTGCCATCAGCAAACTTGCTGATGGCTGAGACGGGGGGGAGGCACAAATTTACAAAATGGAACATATAACCCTTTAGAGACAGTTTTAAGTAATGTTAAGTTTGATGGCTTTGTAACAGTAGCAAGGGAAAATTACTGAGATGCATGATACACAGAAAAAAAAAGTAGAGTACAGCTAAAGAACATACTGAGAATTCTCATGTAAGATAAACCGTTATAGTTGAAGTAGTTTTAGGCCCTATGACCTTAGTAAAAAATGAATGTAAGAAAAACAGGCTAGAAGAACAGGACGCAAGGATAGGGAGTATGTCGGAACGGCAGGGGTCCAGGATGGGCTGCAGTTAAACTAACTGATAAGTAGAAGGACAGGAGGATTATTCTGTCTGTGGTGTTAACAAACCAATTAAGCTGGTATAAGCATCTCCTGCATGTGCTTCAAAGGCTGCCAGAGGTGATGAAGATTGTTGGAAGAGGTAAACGACCCTCAGAGACCACCACGACAATTCTGTGCACATGCTGGGGACTTTCCGGAAAATTATGTACTCCATATGTAAACTCATGAATATGTATGTATGCCCAGGGACTATATAAGGGTGGCTTGTGTAACAATACAGGGACACACGCTAGAAGGAGCTATCCCCCGTGTCTCCTGGCACCGCAACACAGAATACCTGCTTGTCAACTTGAAAACTTTGTTGGCAAGTTTGTTCCTGGAGTTTTCTCCGAATCAGGGTGCCCTCAATCCCACTGTCTATGTCACCGAAAAAGATGTTGAAGAAGACCGGTCCCAACACTGATCCCAGAGGGACACCACTCGTTACTGGTCTCCAGCTGGACATTGGGCCATTGACCACAACTCTTTGCGTGCAGCCATCCAGCCAGTTCTTTATCCACCGAGTGGACCATCCATCAAATTGACGTCTCTCCAATTCAGAGACAAGGATGTTGTGCGGGACAGTGTCGAATGCTTCTTTGCACAAGTCCAGGTAGATGACATCAACTGCTCTACCCCTGTCCTTTATGTCCGTAGCCCCATCATAGATATCCACCAAATTGGTTAGGCAGGATTTCCCCTTAGTGAAGCCATGCTGGCTGTCACCAATCACCTTGTTGTTTTTCATATGCCTTAGCATGCTTTCCAGGAGAATCTGCTCCAAGATTTTGCCAGGCACACAGGCGAGACTGACTGGTCTGTAGTTCCCCGGGTCATCCATTTTCCCCTTCTTGAAAATGAGGCTGTTATTTCCCATTTTCCATTCGTCGGGAACTTCACCCGACTGCCATAATTTTTCAAATATGATGGACAGCGGCAACAGCAACTTCATTTTCCAGCTCCTTCAGGACCCGGGGATGGATTTCATCAGGTCCCATGGACTTGTGCACATTCAGGTTTTTAAAATGATCTCACATCTGGTCCTCTCCTACAGTGGAGCTAAGGTCTTCATTCTCACAGTCCCTGCATCTGCCTTCCAAGACTTGGGTGGTGGGGTCAGAGCATTTGCCAGTGAAGACTGAGGCAAAGAAGTCATTGAGAAACTCAGCCTTCTCCAAATCCAGGGTAGCCAGTTCTGATAGCTTCCGGAGAGTGCCCACATTTTCCCTAGTCTGTCTTTTATTTGCAATGTACCTATAGAAGCCCTTCCTCTTATCTTTCACATCCCTTGCCAGATTTAATACCAAGTGGGCCTTAGCTTCCCGGGCAACATCCCTGTATTCTTCCCAGGTCACCTGTCCTCACTTCCACCTTTTAGAAGTTTCTTCAGGAGTTCCTTATCCATCCATGGAAGTCTCCTGTCCCTCTTTCCACGGTTCCTACTAGTCAGGACACAACACTCCTGAGCTTGTAGCAGGTTTTACTTGAATATCAACCAGCTGTCTTGAGCCCCCTTGCCCACTAGGGCTTTATCCCATGAAATCTTACTGAACAGGTTCCTGAAGAGGTCAAAGTCTGCTCTCTTGAAGTCCAGGGCAGTGAACGTGCTGTGTGCCCTTCTCACTGCCCTGAGAATCTCAAACTCAACCATCAAAGGATCGCTAAGGCCAAGGCTTCCCTGCAACATCACATTCCCAACCAGCCTCTCCCTGTTGGTGAGCACGAGGTCAAGCATGGCACCTTGAGTAAGTGCCATGGCATAAGTGGGCTGCAGTAACTGCACAAGCTCAAATCGGAAATGCCAGTCATCCAGGAATTCTAAAAGTCATCATGGAGTGGCCAGAGGGCAAAGATTTTGGAATGTCACCAGAGGAGAAGGTAATGTCTGCTGAAGAGGCCCCACCATATAATAAACTGTCAGGAAGTGAAAAGCAGTATGGCCATCCAGCCATTTTTTATCCACTGAGTGGTCCATCTATCAAATTTATGTCTCTCCAATACAGAGACAAGGATGTCATGTGGGACAGTGTCGAACGCTTTGCACAAGTCCAGGTACATGACATCAACTGCTCTGCCCCTGTCCATCAGTTCCTTAATCAGTCAATGGTGACCCAAGGAAGGTTCCACTGCTGCTGGCTTTCCCCATGATTTTATTCTCCACTGATGATCATGACAGCACCTATCGTCCTTTCAAAGCCCAGAGTGGGGGAGATGGGCATCTAGCTGACGGGCTTAAAGTGTTATATAGCAGGCAACAGCATATAACTGAGTTCATTAGCTGTTTTCCCTCAAAACTAAGGCCCCTTGAGGCAGACACCGGACTTGCCAATCTTCCGGCGTTACCCACCAAGTATATCCAGGTACCCGAGTGAAAGTAATCCCACCAGCAGATAGCATCATGTGTAGAGGAGACCCTGCCTTTGAACATCCAGCCCAGCACAGACAACCAGGGTGCCAGGAGCAGCTGTACTTCAGTGCCAATCACTTCTGAAGCAGCTCGAACCCCTTCATAGGCTGCCAGTACCCTTTTTTCAGTGGAAGTATAGCTGGCCTCAGATCCTCTGTATCCCCGAATCCAAAAGACGAGGGGTTGACCTCAAGTCTCCCGTAGAGCTTTCTGCCAGAGGCTCCAAGTAGGACCATTCTCCCCAGCTGCAGTATAAAGAACATTTTTCACATCTTGCCTGGTCCAGACTAGTCCAAGGGCTGCTGCATGAACTACAGAATCATCAAATCAACTAGGCTGGAAAAGACCTTCAAGATCATCAAGTCCAACCATTACTTTAGGGCTACCAAGACCACCACTAAACCATATCACCGAGGACCTCATCTGTATGGTTTTTGAACATTTCCAGAGATGGCGATTCCACCACTTCCCTGCACACCCTGTTCCAGTGCTTGACAACCTTGTCAGCAAAGAATTTTTTCCCAGTATCCAATTTAAACTCCCCAGGCAGAACTTGAGACCATCGCCTCTTGCTCATTTGCTTGTTACTTGGGAGAAGAGACTGATCCCCCCCTCGCTACAACCTCCTTTCAGCTAGTTCATAGAATGGTTAGGGCTGGAAAGGACCTTAAGATCATCTAGTTCCAACTCCCCTGCCATTAATTATCTCTCCTTCATTTTGTTCAAAAGCTTGCTGCTGCTCAGGGCCCCATTCAAAATCATTCTTCTTCTGGGTCACGTGATAGAGAGGACTTACAATCAAGCTGTCATTTGGGTTGTGCATTCTCCAGAACCCCACAGCACCAGATTTCCCTCCTGGCTCTTCGGCTGTGGGAGAAGAGGCCAGACGTTCGTGCTCTACTCACTATGTTCCTGGGCAGGCTCGAAGGACCACCGGAGAGGTTCCATTCAAATGGACTTTTAGGTATGAAATCGAGGAGCGACAGCAATGATGGTGGCACCGTTGCAAAGCTGACTGTGTGCTGAATGTTCCCAGCACCAGATTTCCCTCCTGGCTCTTCGGCTGTGGGAGCTGAGGCCAGACGTTCGTGCTCTACTCACTAAGTTCCTGGGCAGGCTCGAAGGACCACCGGAGAGGTTCCATTCAAATGGAATTTTGCACTGTCCATATATGGCTATTAAAGGGTAAGCGGGTTCTACTGATCACTCCTTAGCTCTCCAGCCTATGGATCAGCTTATGGGTGGCAATCAGGGAGTCTCGGTGCGATATTGCTGCCGGTGCACTACTGTGGTCACAACTGGCACTTGTTGTTCTTCGACCTGTGCACAGGTATCTACTAGAGCCTTATACTCCTGTGGGACTGTTGTGCCAGGCCATCCGACCCACACAGTCCAGTTAACATGAGTGTCTCTCTCCTCCACCTTGCTGGAGGCAGGGCCCCTCTCATAGCAATCCTAAGATTCTCTACTTACTCCTTGTAGAAAGGGATTAGAATTCCTTATCATAGGAGTTGGAGTAAAATCAGCTTTTCCAGTCCACCTGGGAAGCTGCTCACCAAAGCCTGGAGCAGCAACTTCATTGGCAGGATCATCCTTGACTGTCGTTATTCAATTCACACACCCATTCCTCCAGAACTGAGTTAGGTTTTCCATCCCACTTCCTCATGGGTCTTCTCCATGGTCCCACAGGTAAAACCATAACGTGGCTCATGGCGTGTACCTCCTCTATCTTCTCTCCCGGGCAATAGGGCACCTTCTGTTAATAGCTGAAACATTGGTTGGTACACATGAGGAGCTGGACAGATAGTCTCAGGTGTTTGACCTCCTGGGTCAGGAGTTTTTCCACAGCTGAAATGATGGAAAGCGTGAGATTGTCTTCAAACTCGGAGTTGACAACTCACTTTAGCTACTGTTGGTGGTGCTGCCTCATTCCAGGTCACTGATACCAATGAGTGGGCATATGATGATGGCACACTCCATGTAAGCTTCTACCACGAGTCGTGTACATTCAACTTCATCTGGATCTATGGGCGCATTCCCAGCATCTGGCCTATGATAGATCACCTCTAGAATAGCTAATTTCCTCAGGGACTGGATACCTCTCTCTATTGTGGTTCACTTGGCTGAGTGGCACATAATATTGTCCTTGTAGGGATACCTTTCCTTCACATCTGCCAAAAGCCACCTCCAGAGGCTGAGGGCTCATTTCCGTTTTGCAACTGCTTTGTCAATTCCCCCTTCCCTAGCAAGTGATCCCAGCTGCTTGGCTTCCCTACTTTCTAGTTTGTGACTATCGGCCCCATTATCCCAGAATCAAAGCAACCAGGTGATTATGTGCTCCCCTGGAAGACGGGTGAAACCTTTTCGCATATTCCACAACTCAGTCAAGGCTCAGGATCAATAAGTTACCTTCTTCCTCTTCCTCTGATTCATGTAGTAATAACTCTCCTTCAGATGGCACCCCCTCTAGTACACGCACTGGGTCTTCATCTTTCTTCACTACAGGAGCTGCTCTTCATGGCTCTCATTTGCTTTTCCCTTTACTTATAGGGGCAACTCACATGAGCATGGATTGGTCCTTTTGTTTAGCTGTAGTGTCTTTCACTGTGGTTGTGTCGGAGGAGCGACCCGAATCAAGAAGACAATCTCAATATGAGTTACGCTTCTTGTTCGATTTATTGCACAGGCTCACCTAATTTATACCATTGGTGATAGTTTACGTGACAACTGTACATCTTTCATTGGCTACATAAACCTGTCCACGCGCCTGTCTATACATTGCTATTGGCTAAGCTAAGTTTTACACACGTATCTCTGCAACAGCAGGGTGCATGTCTTGCGATAAGCGGTGCATTCCTTGTGGCCAGCAAGCTCCTGTTTCAACGTTCTGCTTGCATTTCTTCGACTCCAGGCCTCCTCGGCTCAGCTGAGTCAGAGGGAGTTCAAGGCTGTCTCACTCGGCTCTAATCCTGGGTTGTGCAGGCCCTCATGAGAATAACCATTGCTCCACAATTCCCCCATTTTTCTTTTGCACGACCCAGGATGCTTGCTGTCACACAAGGAAAATTTTGCTAAGTGATCTACTAAGTAAGCGTTGCAAACATTGTAATAAGCAAGGTATCAATAGTAAAACAAAACCAAAAGCAATCAATCCACATATGCATGCCTTAATCAAACTACATAGCCAACCACTTAACCCCCAGGTTGTGCTGTAGCCCATACAAACTTAGAATACGTATCTACTGTAATATGTACATAATGCAAATGCCCAAACTCAGAAACATGAGTGACATCCATTTGCCACAGCTCCAAAGCCCTCAAACCCCGAGGGTTGACCCCAAGTCCAAGTCCTGGTCCATGGTTGCTGCACTGAGGACAACTTCAAACAATTCCAGTGGCTTCAGTCCATGTCAGTCGATACTGTCGCCATAGGCCTCGTGCATTTCGATGGAACGGAGCATGTGCCATCCGTGCAGCATCAAACTGACTGACGATAGGACGAACGTGGCTTACGAGTGTATCAGATATTGCGCTACCTTCAGCTAACCCATCTTGACTTTTGGGGCTCAGAATATGAATGATGTAATATTCTGCTGAACGCTGGCGGATAGCTTGTTAAGGTTGTTGAAAAAGAGTCATAAGACGCTCATTCCACGTTTCTCTAATAAATGCATCTTCGATTTGTTGTACTACGCCCACCACACATAACAAATCGGTGACCACATTAAGCGGGATATGTAACCAACACAATATTGCCCAAACAACTGCAGTTAACTCTAAAGTTTGTAACAAATCTCCTGACCTTGCAAAAGTTTGTGATGTTTCCATTGATTGCCCTGGCACCATGTGACCACTGCACTGATTTTTTCCCTGCATCTGTGTCCTGGGTTTAGCAGCGGCAGTCATTTTTTCTCCTTCTTGGTAGCTGGTGCAGTGCTGTGTTTTGGCTTTCGGGCTGGGAACAAAGCTGATGAAAATGATGTTTTGGTTTGGCCAGGGATTTTGTGAGCCTCATGCTCTGCCAGGGAGGAGAGGAAGCTGGGAGGAGGCGGAGACAGGACACCTGACCCAAACTGACCAAGGAGATATTCCATACCACAGCACGTCATGCACAGGGGGGAGCTGGGAGGGGCTGGAAGGATGGGGGGGTCGGCGGGGTCGGACTCGTGGTTCGGCGCGTGGTATTGTGTTCCTTTCCCTTACTATTTTCTCTTATCATTGTTGTCGTTGGTGGTAGCGGTGGTGATTTGTATTGTACATTAGTTGCTAGACTGTTCTTATCTCAACCCGTGGGAGTTGCATTCTTCCGATTCTCCTCCCCATCCCTCTGGGAGCGGGGAAGGGGGGGCAGCCCCTGGGGAAGGGGGGGGAGGCTAACGTGGGCCTCGATTGCTTCCAGCCTGGCACCACTCACTGGGAGTAAGTGCACAAGTTGTCTGGCTGGGGTTAAACCACGACAATCTGTATACACAGTTAGCCCTCCCTGAATGGGTCTCATGGATAACTTTGGTCATGTTATCCATGCATTGGACAGTAGCAATGAGGCTTCTTTTCCCTTAGGTAAATCCACCGAGACTTTCCCTTCATATTGCAGCAAGGCCATCTGCAGGCTAACGGAATGCCCCATTACCCACTCTAGGTCCTCCACAGCTATAGGAATGTGAATGCTAGCTGGCTCTTCTCCTGAAATGGCAAATGTGCATGTTCTCCCTTTTCTAATGATTTGTCCAACCGCTTCCATGCGTGTTTGAATGCTCTTGCGAGCTTGCAATGGCAAAAATAACCATTCCAAAATAGCCAAGATGCCTCCCCCATTTTTCTTTTGCCATTGCAAGATCACAGCAAACACTGACTGGGCATGAGAGACGACCGTTGCTCTTCAGAAACGACTACTGGTTTGTCAGCTTGTGCACCCTTTAGCAAAGAACGTAAAGGCATTAGCTGTTCGTTAGTAATTCCAATAAGAGGCCGGACCCATTGCAAATCCCCCATTAGGGTTTGAACATCAGTCAACGTCCTCAGCTCTAGGTGCAATTCTACTTTTTGGAGCCATACAACAGAATCAGATATAAACCATCCCAAAGGTCTGGCATGGCATGTGTCCTCACCGCTCCATGCCTGCTGGGCTCCAGCCAGCAGTGGAGTTAAAGGTTCTTCTTGGTGGCAAACACAGAGGCCAATCCAGTCTTGCCCTTGATTGTGGTAGCAGGCATTTGGTCAGCCTCAATCCTTGCACCTTGTTGTCAATGCAGAGTTTCACCTGCTTCATCCAGTAACAAGTCATTATTATGGCAAGGCACACACAGATTTACATTAGCAGAGTAACTATTACAGGGTGCAGCAGCATGTTGAAGATGCTGATGCCAGCAAGGGACTAGCCAAAGAAATTTCTTACCAGTGGAATTCTCCCCCCTCTTAATTTATCATTGTATTAGAATATTTCTATCTTTTGCCTTAGCATTTTCTAGCAGCTACTACAAATTTGCATACTCTGACATCTCTTTTACAAGTGACAAATGTATACAAGGTGTAGTTTCTTATTAGTAACTGGCTAGTAAATACAGGTGGTTTTATACACAAAATCACAGCATCTAACAATAGCTACTGTACAAGCACACATATTCAAGCTGTTACTTTTCAGTTGCTCCCAAATGATGTTTAGCAATCATTGGTTTTTCTCTTTCTCTATCTCATTCTGCTTGGGGTATTCACGTTCAGCTCCTGCAGCTGAGGCATCAGGTTCCTCCATTCGTCTGTCCAGATCATGGCAAGGCTTGACAAACTTTGCAGGCATTCGCCATGGACCTGTAGGCAGGAGGACACAAATATACCCCCTCCTCCAGGTTATCAGTTCTTGAGAAGTAGATAGGTTCTGTATCTGCCACCCTGATGCTGCTTAGGTGACGGCTCGTAAGGCTTGTGGTTGCACTACCCCTCTCGCTTTCTCAATTAGCAGTTCTTGTTTCAACCGATCTATCTGTTCCTCCAAGTCTTGGATTCATCCCCAGGTTACTTTAAACATATTAAGCTTGGTTTTGTTTTATTTTGCTTTGTTTTTTTCTCTCCTCGGCTCTGGTGTCCATCCTGGTCCTTCCACCGGTGGAGCACCAGGAGCCGAATCGGAGGGCAGCTTCTTTTGGACATAGGGACCGAACTCTTATCAAATAATTTTTTTTTAATTTTTTGTTCCCGAAGGTGCTCACCCTGCTTTGCATGGCTACAAACGCCAGCCTGCCAGGCAGCAGCTACAGCTGCCTGCCTGCTTCAGCAGCAACCATAAATACCTGCCGGCAACCTCACTTTTGCATTAACCCTTTCTTGCCCGAAATGTTAAACTGCTACCCGTTAAAAACTTTTACATGAACCCAACAACAAAAAATACACAGAACACCGTCTGCCCTCAACACACACAAACACACACACGTATGGGATCCCACAAGCACACTCCACACAACTACAGTATTTGAAGAACAAAATTCAGACAATCATTACTTCCACTACACAATCCCACATACAGGAGGTGGCACAAGGACCCTGTGGAGACTAACAAGAAACCAGCTCCAAGAAGCATCATCACAGTGCGAGGAGGCAGGCCCAATCTTAGCGGCGTCCCCGCAGAGGCTCTGTCTCCCTCACATTGCATGAGGCTTGAGCTTTTATAGTGACTAAAGTGCACACTCATTCCAACACAGGTGGCCAGCCTATGTTGGAAGAAGTAGCCAGCAGTATTTATAAAGGTCTCCAAAGGTCGATAGAAACCTGGACATACTTATGTTTACCAACTTCTAGTACATGAGTATCCATCCTGAATCGTTGGTCTGAACATTTTCAAACCCTCTTTAGTGCTA